TGAGTCAGAAATACAGCTCAAAGCCAAGTCAGCACTGACTGCAAATAATTCCTGACTAAACACTTCATATACAATCACAATGTCCAGGCCTAATTTCATCTTGGTTCCCCCACATTCCCCTACAGTTACAAACAGATCGAAGAATCACGTTCCCTTCCTCTCCTGAACTGCTGTGCACTGTAAAACAGCAGCAGTGTTCACGCCAGAGATGGCTGCATTTCAATGGTTGGAGAAAGTGATCCCTGTATAGATACAGGTTGCAAAGTACTTTAGGATCTGTGACAAAGTTCCTCCTCTACCTTGGTGGGTCTTGCGCTTATTGGCGGATTTGCTCGCCTTGGAGCTTCATGGCAGCCCTCAGCTTGGCTGTTTTCGTGAACCTACAGTCCAGGATGACTCCTCCTGTGTCTGACCAGGAGTTGGGAGGTTTGGGGGGAACCCGGGCCCACTCTCTACTCCGGGTTCCAGCCCAGGGCCTTGTGGAATGCAGCTGTCTAGAGTGCCTCCTGGAACAGCTGTGTGACAGCTACAACTCCCTGGGCTACTTCCCCATGGCCTCCTCCCAACACAGGTAGAGGAGGCCTGGGATTATTTTAAATCAAAGCTGCAGAAGCTATCGGAAGCCTGCATCCCAAGTAAGGGGAAAAAATTCATAGGCAGGAGTTGTAGACCAAGCTGGATGAGCAAGGATCTCAGAGAGGTGACTAAGAAAAAGCAGAAAGCATATAGGGAGTGGAAGAAGAGAGGGATCAGCAAGGAAAGCTACCTTATTGAGGTCAGAACATGTAGGGATAAAGTGAGACAGGCTAAAAGTCAAGTAGAGTTGGACCTTGCAAAGGGAATTAAAACCAATAGTAAAATGTTCTATAGTCATATAAATAAGAAGAAAACAAAGAAAGAAGAAGTGGGACCGCTAAACACTGAGGATGGAGTGAAGGTCAAGGATAATCTAGGCATGGCCCAATATCTAAACAAATACTTTGCCTCAGTCTTTAATAAGACTAAAGAGGATCTTAGGGATAATGGTAACATGACAAATGGGAATGAGGATATGGAGGTAGACATTACCATATTTGAGGCAGAAGCGAAACTCAAACAGCTTAATGTGACTAAATCAGGGGGCCCAGATAATCTTCATCCAAGAATATTAAAGGAATTGGCACAGGAAATTGCAAGCCCATTAGCAAGAATTTTTAATGAATCTGTAAACTCAGGGGTTGTACCGTATGATTGCAGAATTGATAACATAGTTCCTATTTTTAAGAAAGGGAAAAAAAGTGATCTGGGTAATTATAGGCCTGTTAGTTTGACATCTGTAGTATGCAAGGTCTTGGAAAAAATTTTGAAGGAGAAGGTAGTTAAGGACATTGAAGTCAATGGTAAATGGGACAAAATACAACATGGTTTTACAAAAGGTAGATCGTGCCAAACCAACCTGATCTCCTTTTTTGAGAAAGTAACAGATTTTTTAGACAAAGGAAACGCAGTGGATCTAATTTACCTAGATTTTAGTGAGGCATTTGATACCGTGCCACATGGGGAATTATTAGTTAAATTGGATAAGATGGGGATCAATAGGAAAACTGAAAGGTGGATAAGGAATTGGTTAAAGGGGAGACTACAACGGGTCCTACTGAAAGGTGAACTGTCAGGCTGGAGGGAGGTTACCAGTGGAGTTCCTCAAGGATCGGTTTTGGGACCAATCTTATTTAATCTTTTTATTACTGACCTTGGCACAAAAAGTGGGAGTGTGCTAATAAAGTCTGCGGATGATACAAAGCTGGGCGGTATTGCCAATTTAGAGAAGGACAGGGATACCCTACAGGAGGATCTGGATGACCTTGTAAACTGGAGTAATAATAATGGGATGAAATTTAATAGTGAGAAGTGTAAGGTCATGCATTTAGGGATTAATAACAAGAATTTAAGTTATAAGCTAGGGACGCATCAATTAGAAGTAATGGAGGAGGAAAAGGACCTTGGAGTATTGGTTGATCATAGGATAACTATGAGCCGCCAATGTGATATGGCTGTGAAAAAAGCTAATGGGGTCTTGGGATGCATCAGGAGAGCTATTTCCAGTAGGGATAAGGAGGTTTTAGTACCGTTATACAAGGCACTGGTGAGACCTCATCTGGAATACTGTGTGCAGTTCTGGTCTCCCATGTTTAAGAAGGATGAATTCAAACTGGAACAGGTACAGAGAAGGGCTACTGGGATGATCCGAGGAATGGAAAACTTGTCTTATGAAAGGAGACTCAGGGAGCTTGGCTTGTTTAGCCTAACTAAAAGAAGGTTGAGGGGAGCTATGATTGCTCTCTATAAATATATCAGAGGGATAAATACCGGAGAGGGAGAGGAATTATTTAAGCTCAGTACCAGTGTGGACACAAGAACAAATGGATATAAACTGGCCACTAGGAAATTTAGACTAGAAAGTATACAAAGGTTTTTAACCATCAGAGGAGTGAAGTTTTGGAATAGCCTTCCGAGGGAAGCAGTGGGGGCAAAAGATTTATCTGGCTTTAAGATTAAACTCGATAAGTTTATGGAGGAGATGGTATGATGGGATAACATGGTTTTGGTAATTAAATATTCATGGTAAATAGGCCCAATGGCCTGTGATGGGCTATTAGATGGGGTGAGATCCGAGTTACCCAGGAAAGAATTTTCTGTAGTATCTAGCTGATGAATCTTGCCCATATGCTCAAGGTTTAGCTGATCGCCATATTTGGGGTCGGGAAGGAATTTTCCTCCAGGGCAGATTGGAAGAGGCCCTGGAGGTTTTTCGCCGTCCTCTGTAGCATGGAGCACGGGTCACTTGCTGGAGGATTCTCTGCTCCTTGAAGTCTTTAAACTACGATTTGAGGACTTCAATAGCACAGATATAGGTGTGAGGGTTTTTTTTATAGGAGTGGTGGGTGAAATTCTGTGGCCTGCATTGTGCAGGAGGTCAGACTAGATGATCATAATGGTCCCTTCTGACCTAAATATCTATGAATCCTCGAATCCTCACCATAGGACCTTCCTCCTGGTGTCTGATAATACTTGTACACCTCAGTCCTCCAACAGTCCGCATACTCACTCTCAGCTCCTAGTGCCTCTTGCTCCCAGCTCCTCACACACACACCACAAACTGAAGTGAGCTCCTTTTTAAAACCCAGGTGCCCTGATTAGCCTGCCTTTACTGATTCTAGCAGCTTCTTGATTGGCTGCAGGTGTTCTAATCAGCCTGTCTGTCTTAATTGTCTCCAGAAGGTTCCTGATTGTTCTGGAACCTTGCCTGTTCCCTTACCCAGGGAAAAGGGACCTACTTAGCCTGGGGCTAATATATCTGCCTTCTATTAGTCGCCTGTAGCCATCTGGCCCGACCCTGCCACAGATCTTTATTATAATAGCATATGGTGGTCTGTTTTCCAGTATCTCCAACCCCAGTTGTTCAAAAATCATTTAACATTTTTATTAATGACTTGAGATGGGGACTGGACTAGAAGACCTCTTGAGGTCCGTTCCAGTCCTACTATTCTCTGTTCTATTAAAATATAAAATCATCACTGATCAAGTTTGCAGATGACACAAAGATGGGGCAGTGGTAAATAATGAGGACAGGTTACTGATACAGAGTGATCTAGATCACTTAGTAAACTGGGCACAAGAAAAAAATATGCATTTTAATATGGCTAAATGTATACATCTGGGAACAAAGAACGTAGGCCTTTCTTACAGGCTGGGGGACTCTAACCTGGGAAGCAGTGACTCTGACAAAGATTTGGGAGTCGTGGGGGATAATCAGCTGAACATGCATTCCCAGTGTGATGCTGTGGCCAAAAGAGCTAATGCGATCCTGGGATGCACAAACAGGGGAATCTTGAGTAAGAGTAGGGAGGTTATTTTACCTCTGTATTTGACACTGGTGCAATCACTGCTGGAATACTGTGTCCAGTTCTGGTACCCACAATTCAAGAAGTATAATGATAAATTGGAGAGGGTTCAGAGAAGAGCCATGAGAATGATTAAAGGATTAGAAAACCTGTCTTATAGTGATAGATCAAGGAGCTCAACCTATTACTCTTAAGAAAGAGAAGGTTAAGGGGTGACTTGATTATAGTCTATAAGTACCTACATGGGGAACAAATATTTAATTATGGGCTCTTCAATCTAGCAGAGAAAGGTGTAACATGAACCAATGGCTGGAAGTTGAAGCTAAACAAATTCAGACTGGAAATAAATCACACATTTTTAATGGTGAGAGTAATTAATCATTGGAACAATTTACCAAGGTCATGTTGGATTCTCCATCACTGACAATTTTTAAATCAAGATTGGATGTTTTTCTAAAAGATCTGATCTAGGAATTATTGTGGGGAAGTTTTATGGCCTGTGTGATTCAGAAGGTCAGACTATCACAGTGGTCCCTTCTGGCCTTAGAATCTATAAACCTATGACTTAGGCCACAAAAATCATGATATTTTAAAAATTTCGTTCATTGAATTTGCCTTTTGGTTTTTGAGCCTTCAGGGGTCACATATTCAAGCTATTCTCCACAACCAGGAGCAAATTGACTTTTTTCCCTAAATGAAAGGTGAAATGCCTCCTTAAGTCACCTGACTCCAGTGGGTGGGACTTTATAGAAACACCAGATGAAAAGAGGTTTGCCATAAAAGTTGTGAGAGTTGGCAACACTGGTTTGAAAGTACACCAATATATTGTGACATCACTGTATCGCACAACATAACCAAGTTCTTCTGACACAGTGACACAGTGACACATATTGGGGCTGATTCTCTATTGACCTGCACAGTGTATAGTCATTTACACTACTGCCAAATGGGTGTAAAATGCTACCAGATCAGAATAGCAGCATTTTATACCCAGTCTGGACTACTGAAAATGACACAAGTGTGGGGCAAGGCACACTCAGGCCCCCTGGTGCTTTTTGCTTTACATGTTTGGGTTCTGATGTTCCCTCCCCTCTGCGTGCCCTGTGTCAAAGATCATACCTGAGTCCTCTGCAGGTACTGATGCTTGCCGCTGAATCACTGTGTCCGTGAACATCCCCGTGATAAAAGCAGTGATCCTGCAGCAGAGAAAGCAGAAGTCAAAAGCCAATCAGCACCATACTGGGAACACTTAGGGTAGAAAAGAAGTCACTAACAAGGTACAGATCCTGGAAAGCAGAGATCTGTTACAGAGCTTCTTCCAGGCAAAAACAAGCCTTTCCCGCCTCATTTATTACCCACGCGTGATTTTCAGATCTTTCAAGAAACACAAGTGCTCCCAGCTGCCACCTGAAAAGCACACGAGGTGTGAGAGGTAATATCTTTTATTGGACCAACTTCTGTTGGTGAGAGAGACAAGCTTTTGAGCTATACAGCGCTCTTCTTCAGGTGACCTTGGGTAAGCCTGAAAGCTTGTCTCTCTCACCAACAGAAGTTGGTCCAATAAAAGATATTACCTCACCCACTCTGTCTAAAAACCTGGGACCAAGACGGCTACAACAACACTGCCCACCTGAACAGCAGGCAGTTCCACACCATACATGAGCAGTATACTACAGTGACATGGGCAGCCTTACATTCATGGGCAGATTGGAGGCTTGACTGGATCAGCACAATACACAACACAGCACTGCTCCTGACTGCCATGGTGCCTGAGCACAGAACACGTAATCAGCACTAATACACACACACACACACACACACACACACAGAAGACTGAGGAAGTAACTTGACCAAAGTCACAGGGTGGGATTAGAAATCAGACGCTCTGAACTCCCAGCTGTAAGAGCTGGCTGGCTGGAGGGGAAAAGACTATCAAGGGGCAGGAGTGTTGTCCCCCAGTGTAGGCAAGGGCCAGGAAGAAAAAAGCATCCGGGTACAGTGTGGGCATTATCCCCACAGAAGGCCAGGGGAGAGCTGAGAGGCAGGGGAGGGAATCCAGGAACAGAGCATGCTGGGGCATGGTGCGGGACACACAGGAGCGTCCAAGCAACCTCACAGGTATCGTCCCCCACAGTAGGCCAGGCCAGGCGAGCGAGGGAGCATGGGAGCATCCAAGAAACAGCGCAGGTGTTGTCCCTCACAGCAGGCAGAGGTGGGGGATGGGGCGCAGGAGCTTCCCTTACAGAACTACGGAGGTTCCTCTCTACCTGCTGCTCCATAGGGCAGGTTTGCAGCTACAGAAGGCATAGAGGGTAGGACAGTGAGGCATGGGGTGAGAGGAGCCCTGGCCTTGCCACTCTGGGCATTTGCAGAGCTGCTGAAGGAAGGAAGGGAATTCATTCAAATTAGCTGTTCTCCATACACCGGCCCCCTATCTGCACTGTGCACAGCTGCTAAAATGGGAGTGTCCGCTGTGCACTGCAAAATTTAGCTGAAGTCTGGAGAGCCCACCGGGGCTATACTACCTCCCAGTTGCCCTGGTCATGGGGAGCTGTAAGCCAGCTCTGCAGGTCGAGGACTAGACCCTCCCAACAATCTCCTTTGCTGGGGCTAAATCACTGACGGCACTTCCCAGTGAAGGGCTGGTGTTGCGGCCCATCATGAAAAGCCCAGGTGGCCTGCTGAGCTGTGTGCCAGGGTTTGCCCAATACAGTTAGAGTTTACAGAGCGCTTTGGAAACATTATCTAAAACCATTAGCCCAGAACACCAGCAGGGCAGGGAAGAATAATTAGCCGACACCAATCAAACCTCACGCTCCTGAGGGCTGCTCTGACCGCTCACCACTGAAAGCAAGTTCGCCACTAATCTCTGTGGCACCACTTCTATAATGGGAAGCCAACTCATGTACTGAAAAGGAAGCATTGCCTAGTGGTGAGAGGTTATGGTGGGGTGTCAGAAGAACTGGGTTCTGCTTCTGGCTCTATCAAGACAGCTGGAACTTGTGCGATTGTGTGCTCTCTGAGCCTTTGTTTCCCTAGCTGTGACATGGGGTTGACAATATTATTGCTTTCTCTCAGAGAACGTGAGGCATTCCTTGGTGCTTTGAGATCTTTGCCAGAAAAGGGCAAAGTAATGTTATGGTCTAACTCAGCCAGAAGCTACTGGACCCAATACAGGAGTCCCTGGGTGAGGTTCTCTGACCAGTGTTATCTGATCCAGTCTGACCTGTAAGGGTCCCTTCCAGCCTTAAGGTCTATGGCTCTATGAAAGACCCAATGCCAAATGGCCTGCTCGTGGGGAGGAAGGTGGGTCAATCAGCATCCAGCAGCCTTCAGCCCCTGTCCTACAGACAACGTCAGCATCTGCAGCCTTCAGCAAGGACTCGTTGTGGCCTTGCCCCCCAATGAGCACAGCGTTGTACAGAATGCGGAGGGCAGGCAGGCACACGGGAGGCAGTAGGAAGACTGCCAACTGGATTGATCTTACGTGCCCACAGGTGTATGAAGGAGAAGAAGGTGAGTGCCCATTTCCCAAACATGTCATGGATCATATGAGCAGCTCAGTCCACCTCTGTTCACAGAGCCCCAGCCTGTCATCCAATGGTAAAAAGGAAGCGCTTACCACAAGGATCTGAGCCTCCTCAGCTCCATACCTAACCAATAGCACCTCAGGCACCCACAGCATAGCACCGAGCACCAAGGAAATGTGAAGCACCAAACAAGATGTCTTGCTTTGCTGTGAAAAGGACTGGGGGAGACACCACAGGTTCTAGTGAATTTGTTTTGAGAGTCCAAAGCCTCAGCGCAATCCCCCAGCCCCAGTAAGTCTCCTCTAAGAAACATGCACCAGATCATACAGCACAGCCCTTGGATTCATACCTGAGTGTCTGGCCTCTCAGTGACCTCGGTGCCATTTTCTGAGTAATAGGTTTCAGTGTAGTGCTCCCCAATCAGTCCCCTGAAAAAAAGAGACAGACAGAAGCAGTGAGGACTCACAGCGCCACCTGCAGCTCCGAGTGACAGAGAACCACATGGTGCAGGAGGAACCAGCATTACCCTGTACCCCTCTGGCCCAATCCTGCTTGTCTGACTCACAGCAGTGGGTGCCACTGAAGTCAGTAGTACTGACACTGCTCCCAGTGCCAATATGCGATTGAGAAAAGCAAGCTGGACCTGGCACCGCATCACTGCTTGAACTCCCACCAGAAAATCCCATCAATGGTTCCTCATCTTCACACTTCGGATGCATCCTATATAGAGGGAGGGGGAGGCAGGGTCCTGCACAACCTCCATAGAAGAAGCTGTTATTGCCTCTGTTGCGTGTAGGGTGACCAGATCGCAAAAATAAAATATTGGGACACATGTGCGGGGAGGGGGGCAGCCACAGGCTCGCAGTCCCCACCGGAGCCATGGGGGAGGCGGGAGCACAGTCCTAGGAAGCCGCAGGTTGTGGGGCGCATGGCCCCAGCTCCGGCCCCCACTACAAGCTGCGTGTCAGTCAGGGGCACATAGCCCCAGCTCCAGCCCCCACTGCAAGGGGGGGGTGTCTCAGGGGTGGGGCAGGGAGCTGGGGATGTGGGAAGAGATTCGGGGTGCTGACTCCGGAAGGGAGTTTGAGTGCGGGTGGGAGGGGGTGCAGGTTCCAGGCATGGCTTACCTCAGGCGGATCCCCGAAAGTGGCGACAATTGCCTCTGGGTCCTAGGTGGAGGCACAGCCAGGCGGCAGTGCACACTGCCTCACCTCCAGGAGCCACCCCCAAAGCTCCCACTGGCCGTGGTTCCTGGGCAATGGAAGCTGCGGAGCAGGCTCATGGCGGGGGCAGCACGCAGAGCTCCCCTGGCCATCCCTGTGCCTAGGACCCAGAGGGAACTGTCACCACTTCCAGGGAGCTGCGTGGATCCAGGTAGGGAGCCTGCCAGACCTGCGCCAACCGGACACCTGGCAACTTTACAATATCGGGTACAATATCGGGACAAATGACATCCCGACCGATGTACGATCGGGACGCAGGACAAAGAGTTAAATATCAGGACGTCTGGTCACCCTAGATGGGGTCATGGAACAGTAGCTGCCATTGACGTTCTGTCTGCTGAATGGTTTGTAAACGGGTGCCTGACTCTTTGCCCTGCAGCCAGCGCTTGGGGTGTGTTCACGGTTACCCAGACCATCACCATCATTTACTCCAAACAGGCTCCAAAAAGACAAAGTCTTTCAAATGGAGTAAGAAGGACAGGGCCAGTAGGTGGGCTGGGACTGGTTTCTCCTGCCTAAATGCTGGCGGGGCAGCCAGATGGGGATAGATCCATGGGTCACAAAATTTTGTTCCCCTGCCATCAGTCTGCCAACTTGTACATGCAGGTCCCTTGTAATGAGCTCCAGGGCGTACAGTAACAGTAGGGGGAGATTTACCCTTTCCTCCTTAAGAGTGGGGGCCAAGAGGTAAATGGGTCCAGTAGCATAGTATCCCAGCGGAGGCAGCAGGGCAACTGCCAATCACACCTCATACGGAGCTCAAAGCAGTTTGAGTAATAGTGTCTCCTCCTGAATTCGATGGACTGAGAAGATGGTATTTGATGCTAAATAAGAGTTAGACCATTGTGAGGGGGACAGAATAAAAATGTAGGCAGGCAAGGGGCTTGGGTCTGAGGGTGAATAAGAGCTGGGTTTAGGATCATATCTGATGGTTCTGTGTCAGAAACGGAAAACAAGTCCCTTCTTGTTTTTGATCTGAACCTAAGCCGCTGCAGCGGCCAGTTTCTATCCAGGGATCCAAGTCCCTCTGAAATTCAAAAAGGTTCAGCTAGAGGTCCAAGCTGTTGGCTCTCCTCCAGCTTTATGCCCTGCAATGTTCCACGCGCAATCCACACAAAGTGGCCTGGGGAGGAAGCTAACCTAACGACCCAAGGCTTTCACTAGGGAACCCTGCAAGCCACACTAGCCACTGCACACTTACCTGTTCTTTTCCAGACGGAGAACATAGTCCCTCCCTTCTGCACGGATGCTGTAATGAACGTGGTCCGGATACGTGTTCTGCATGGGGTAAAACAACAACAGAAACTTTTCAGAGTAACAGCCGTGTTAGTCTGTATTCGCAAAAAGAAAAGGAGTACTTGTGGCACCTTAGAGACTAACCAATTTATTTGAGCATGAGCTTTCGTGAGCTCTGCATGCATCTGATGAAGTGAGCTGTAGCTCACGAAAGCTCATGCTCAAATAAATTGGTTAGTCTCTAAGGTGCCACAAGTACTCCTTTTCTTCTTTCAACAGAAACTTGTCATCATTGGGCTAAAGAGGTATGAAGTAGAAGATTTCTATCCTGTGTGCTGCGCAGACCTCCCAGGACAGTCACATGGGACCTTAGACTCACCTACCCGAGCCCATTCAATGTTCTTCTAGTTATATGTGGATTTTGTTGAAATATTCTATTGGCATATTTCTGCCCTGTTTTCAAAGGCGTTGTGCATCTGCAGCTCCCACTGATTCAGGGTTTGCGTGAGGGCCCAGCACCTCTGGAAACCTGGATGCACGTGCTCGCTGCCAATGTACCCATTATAGACATAGCACAAGTGGAAACCAACAGCCAACTATACCAGCACAGAAATAATCTCAGTTTGCAAAACCCAGTATGCCTTGGATTAAAGAACACTACAGATGAGTACAATGAGATTAAACTAAGACTCAGTGTTCACATCTGGCACAACGCCACAAGTTGTTGCACAAGGAACTAAAATCTTACTGCTCATCAAAATGCCTTTTTTGGCATTTAATTCATCATTTACTCAAAATCAAGAACCACAGAGTCCCCTGATAACTCACCCCCTGACTCACTAATGCTTCCCCTAGTAAAGTCTTTCTTCTCTTTGACTGATTATGCGCACAGCCTCATTGTGTGAGAATCAACTTCTCTTTCCGTGTGCTCTCAAAAGTAGATGGTCAGGAAATCATACTGAAGACACTTGGCCTGAAGAAATAAACTCTGCTTCCAGAGTCATTCTTTATTCCTACAAGCTCCTGCAGTGCACAAGACACAGCACCTTTTCACCTAGTAAAACAGATCATTGCCATTAAGTTTCTGGATAGCCTCCCAACTCCCATGTGTGCATAAGCATGGGTGGTTGCAGTAAAAGGGACAATAAACAGGCAGGTAGGTCAACTACATGAGTGCACATATTGGACCACATTTCTTGGGGAGCCCACTTGTGATGCAAACAAGCTGGAAAGCAGCCAGATCTGGCCAACTGAGAAGCCCTCAGCAATGGTGTGCCAGACTGCTAGGCCACACCCTCACCTGACCTGGGTGCAGGGAGCACAGCAGGGCACAGGGGAGGGGTTATGGCCAGAGTGTGCCGTGCTCCAGCAATCCCCAGCTGGCCTACAGGACCAGGCGGTGGAGTTTACAGCAGCCCCACAAGTGAGAGGACATGTATCTAGGAGTTAAACCAAGGGACTGGGAGTTGAAACCAGGAGTCAGGATGCCTGGGTTCTTTTCCTGCCTGTACCAATAACTTGCTGTATGACCTTGGACAAGTCACTACAGCTCACTGACTCAGTTTCCCCATGTGTAAAATGGGGACAACCCCACCTACCAGTAACAAGAATCGTGAGTAAATTGCTTTGAGATCCTCAGCTAAACAGTGATGCTAATGAATAATTACACCCTTGGTAGTGTGGAGGCCTCCCTCTCCGGTTAATGACAGCTGACCAGGCGACCGAGCATCTCACGGCAGAGTCGCTGGCTAAGGCTCTTCCCGGACGGAAGCCACGGCTGGCAGAAGTGAACTCCTTGGGCACACAAGGCAAACTCAGCAGCTCTGATTTGCTGGGGTTTGCTCTCAGTTGGGGAGTTTGACCTCTCTAGTGGGGGTGATGGTATAAACCACCACATAACAGTCTGGAATTCCCCCCCAGGAAAGCATTGGGGAACTGCAATCAGATAGGGGCTGGGGTTATACGGAAAGTATTTCTGTGCCACAGTCAGAACCAGCTGGGAGAGGAAACATGATTTTCCTTGTGAGTCAACTGCTCTAATTTCACTGCTTTGCGTTTTTACTTTGGGCTCATTCTGGGAATGAAAAATCCATTTCTGGTTTAAAAAAAAAAAAAAGCCCCTTTGCCTGCTGAGCAAAATGCAGCCAGGGTCGCTCTTCCCCCTCAAGTGGGTACTGGCTGCAGCCCTGGGAAGTGAGGGGCTCTTCAGCAAAGTGCTGAAGACTTGAGAGATGCTGTCAGCTAAACAAACATGATGCCTAAGCTGGAGACAAAGAAACTGTCCATGGGGCTTGGTGATAAATTTTTCTTAGATGAACGTTACTGTCTCTTTTAGTGTTCGCCAACAAAATGATGTTTTATTATTGTTGGCAACTTAGGAGACAGAAACCAATCCTTGAGAAATGCAGATCTGCAGAAAAGCCACTGAAGGCGCTAGAAGAGAACTCTGACTGCAAGCTGGATGGGAAAGGTAGATCAGTGATCAACTTTCTGAGAAACCACAAGAAATGCAAAGCCATTTAAAAGGCCTGATAAAGCTTCCCCCAAGCTCCTACTTCCAGAGGGCTTTTCAAGTGTTTAAAATGCAGAAGGTCTGACTCAGAACAGTGGGAGACTGAGCCTGGACTCTGGTTCAACTCCTGCTCACTCCAGTGCCTGCTGAGTGAGTCAGGGCAGGGCCATGGCTGCAGGATTTGGCCTGAGGTGCAGAAAGAGCAGTTCTGGACAGGCAAAAAACTGGGACAGGCAGGATCAGGCACTGGGGGCTGGACTCTTGGAATACTTCTCATCCCAGTGAGTCAGCAGGAACTCCAGGAGATACACCAGTGTCAGCAAGGTGGAATAACAGCCCAACAGCTACCTGGGCCTTCAGTGCTTTGGGAAAATGTAATGTGCAACAGCTGGTCAGGGTGCACTGGGAGAGGAGGCAAGGGAAAAGGGAGGTTTACACCATCTTTCTGCCCCCATTATCTGGGGGCCAAACCAGCCCTGGCACAAGTTAAAGCAGTCTCAGGAGCACCCTCATTTGTGCTGGAGAAGAGCAGCCAACATCACTGGCATGCATGCACCTTAACCCTGTCCCCACCTCCTCTGCCCTAGAGTGCCCCAGCTCATCATCCCCTACACAAAGGATCCTCAGCTGCTACCTGAAACTTGCTGCTGTGGGTCTTTTTTTTTTTTTTTTTTTTTTTTTGCAGTGTAGATGTAGCCATAGAGAATCCCCTGCAAGCCACCCCATCTCTTAAAATGAGGGGATCCAGCTCAGGTGCCCCTGCTGACCACAGCTGTAGCAATATGGCCTGGGAAGAGAGGTGACCCCTAAAGCAAGTGTTCTTTGGGGAGGAGATTCCACCTTTAAGGCAGAAAGAACAGAGCATGTTGATGGCAGGCTGCTTTTTTAAGGTATCAGGTTTGCAATATTAGAAACAGTCCTGGGGAAATGGCTGAGAGGACAGCATGAGCCAGCTTCACCATTCGTAACCTGGCCATCCTAAACATGTGCAGATAGACCACCCACCCCTGCACCGCTACATCCCATCATGCACTGCAGTCTCTCGTTGTATGCATGTCTTACAGATATCTAACAGATGGATGTACTATTACATGTGATCTCTTCCCTTTGGTACGAACACGGACAGAAAGAAAGGAGGAAAGTTGTTCAATGTGCACAGCACAGATGGGATCTCTAAATAGCCTGGAGAATGTTTATTTCACAGACAAGTTTAGGTTTCTGGAGCAAAGAAACAGATGCCTTTGGGAAGAATTTTTGAAGCTATTTTATCTGAAAGGGTTTGAATCACAAGTGAACATGCTGTACCAAGAATTTACTAGGCAATTTATATCTCAAAATTGACATGATACCTAGGCCTTCTAAGGTGCTAATGTTTGTGCTTTTAAGATATGATTTCTGCTGCTTTCTGAATTTTAAAGACTAAAATGCAGTCCAGAAACTACCATTAGGTTATGATCACAAATTCAGCCTTGCTGACTCCAAACATTCAAAAATCATGAGTCAAACCCCAACAAAGATAAGATTGGCTTGAAAATCAAGAGATTTTTTTCAAAATAATAAAATGTGGATTCTTTTGTATTTGGCTTCTTTTTTCTGAGCATTTTGGGTTCATGTTTTCTTGCTTGTCTCCACAACCACAAGAACTAGTATCTGACATTTTTTACAAAATGAAAACTGAAATTCTCCCACATTCACATAACTCCAGGTGCTGAGGCTTTAAGAAAACACCAAGTATCATAAGACTTGTGCTAAATCGTGAGAGATGGCAACACTGCAGAATGATCTAACATCCTTTCTGCTTCCATTTCATCACTTCTTCCCTTTATCCCATCAACCGGGGTCGGGTCATCATGTAAGCATCCACCATCTTTGTCTGTCTGTGGTAGCATTAAGGTCCACCTGCTTACCATCTTCTTTGATGTGATCCATCCATCATCACTTCCTCAGGGTCTCTTTCCTACCATGCTATCTTCACCAAGTCCCCTTCATTCACCCTCTGCACATATCTGAACTGGCGAAGTCCCATTTCCTGGATTTTGTCAGCCACATCACGGACTTGGACTTACATCCTAAAACTTTCCTTTTGACATCTCTCTCTTTGTGTAACTCCTCTTCTGGCACGAAGACATCTCATCTCGAACACCTGTAGGCATTGAACTTGGCCTCTCTGTTTTGGCCATGTTTCTGCACCATATAGCATTACAGGGCACACCACTGTTCTCCACAGTTCAGTCTCAGTGGCAGACGTTTGTTATACACAGCCCTTGAGATGTTATTCCACACTTTTCCAACACTCCTCAGTCTGGACTGGGACTCACATTCAAGCTCACCATTTTCCATAACCCAGCTGCCAAAGTACTTGAACTGGTCGGTCTGGTTTAGTTCCACTCCATTAAGCTCTATGTCAAGTGTCCCTGTGGCTCCTCTACTGACCCATGCCCTCAGTCTTAGTCAAGCTCCTTTTCATCAGATGCCAGCTTAGTTGATCATAGCACTGGTTTATTATTTTCTCTAGGTCTTCTTTTGAGGAGGCCCTTATTGCTAGGTCATCTGCATATAGCAGCTTCTCCCCCTTTCCCACTGACATCTTCCTGCTGATGCAGTCCATCAAAATGATGAAGAGCAGCGAGTTGAGGGCCGACCCCGGGTGCATTCCAACTTCTACATCAAAGGGACTTGTTGTTCCACAATATGTTCGGATCTCTGTTTTCCATCCACTTTATCATAGGCCTTTTCTAGGTCCATAAGAAGCTATCCTGCTGGTGCTTGAGCTGCTTCTCCATCCCTTGCCAAATTACAAACATGGCATCCCTGCGCCTCGTCCTTTCCTAAAGCCACACCGTGCTTGGTCAATGAGGGGTTCCAGCATTTTTCTAATTCTAGCATCCAAGATACATTCCAGTATCTTCATCCCATGTGACAACAGCTTTGTCCCTCGATAGTTCCAAATTCCTGGAAGCTTCCCTTCCTAAATATTGGTACCAGGACAGACATGCACCAGTCTTTTCTTGTCATACAGCTTCAACCACTTTGATCCATTTCATGCCGCTCTTGCCCAAGACTTTCACCAGTCTGCTGTCACTTCATCAGGTCCCTCTGCCTTATTGGTCTTTGTCTCCTGGACTGAATTTCCACTTCCTCCTCTTATGTCAAGCTCAGGTACCGCATTAGGATCACATGTTGACAACACCACAAAGGGTTTGCTTCATTTAAGTGACTCTCAAAGTATTGTTTCCACCTCTCCTTCACTTGTTTAGGTATTACTAACAGTCTCCTCTGATCACCATTCACAAACCATGTCACATTACCATCCTCCTTTCTTTGGGGCCCATTTTTCAATGCTGCAGAACTTTCTGCCAGCCAGCTGTGGGTCATTTACAAGCTCAGCATGCAAATTGTCTAGGGCACTCTCTTTGCCCTTCTTCATTGCCCACTTGGCAGACCACTTTGCTTCTTTGTATTTGCTTTCATTTACACTTGATGGGTTCATTTATTTTCTTTGTGCACCATTTTCTTGTTTCAAATTGCTACTTGCACTTTGTTGGTCCACCCCCACTCCTCTCCTTTGGTTTTCTCTATCTGCATCATCCACAAACCTCTTCCACTGCGGCAATCTACATTCTTTGGAAGTGGTTCCACGCCTCTTCAGCTGATGCCAAATTTGTTTCCTGACACAGATTTCATTCTGCCATTAGTGATTCTAATTTTGACCTCAAACACAACAAGAGGCTGCTTTGATTGGTCGCTCAAGAGTGCCATCATTTATGATAAAAAGAAAAGGAGGACTTGTGGCACCTTAGAGACTAAAAAATTTATTTGAGCATAAGCTTTCGTGAGCTACAGCTCACTTCATCAGATGCATTCATTTTCCACTGAATGCATCCAATGAAGTGAGCTGTAGCTCACGAAAGCTTATGCTCAAATAAATTTGTTAGTCTCTAAGGTGCTACAAGTCCTCCTTTTCTTTTTGCAGATACAGACTAACACGGCTGCTACTCTGAAACCTATCATTTATGATGGAGATGATGCAGAAAGCTCACACTAGCTGGTGTCATTCATCCCATAAGGGTGTCACATTAAAGGAACTAAGAGTCCGAGTCTGGATCTTTGCTGACTGTGCACTCAAGGTGCCTGCCAGACAGATCAAGAGGGAGAGAATTCCTTTCTCTGAACCAGTGTGCATTTCCTGCAGCATTCTCTATTGATTTCAGTATATGTTCAGAAGGGAGGGATGGCCCAGCGGATAGGGTGCCAATGTGGGACTCTGGAGGCCTGAGTTCAATGCCTGGCTTTGTCACACCCTTCCTGTGTCACACTAGGCAAGTCACTTCACTTCCAAGGGGCTGTGAGGTTAAATGCATTAAAGATTATGAAGTGCTCAGATATAATGCTGACTGGGGCCATAGACAGCAACAGTATGTGAGTGTTGTGATCCTGTTTTCTCTGTTCTGCAGCTTTCCGTGTGTCTGTCTGTTTACAGAGGCAGCTGCAGTTCTGCAAGGCAGCACTGAGGTAGCCTATTCCACAATGTACGTTCTCTCATATTCAGTTATTTTTGCTTAATCTAAAACAAAAGTCAGTCTCCGACTGCTCAGTGTCTGGGAAAGCTGGAACTGTGCATGGCTAATCTGGGGGTTGGCACCAGGCCCTCGTTTAACCGCCTCTGAGTCTGGGGTTGTTGGAGCTGGGCTTGTAGGTCCCCTGATATTTCAGAGGCGACAGATACTTACGAGTTGAGCAGAAAGGTCTCTTTTCCCAGTAGCTGCAGGCACTCTGCGAGGTGTCACCCTTTCATATTGGACCACATGTGTGAGTTTCTCCGATGGGCTGGCAAAGACTCCTGTAAAGACATTCAAAGGGTCAGGGCTTTCTGCAGAGTTCCCTAGAGGAGTACAGTGCTGCATGATGTTACAGGGTGGTAGAGCAGCTGTGCTCAATAACCCCATTAAGGCTTGTTCCTAATCCCAGAGAGGGGGATGGAGCGAGGCTAGCTTCATAGCTCCCTGCCCCTCCGTATTGCCCTCACTGCTCATTGTTGGCTGATGTTTTGCTGCTTCCTCACAGTATGCACAAAGCATGCAACATCCAACACAAGCCCAAGGCACTAGCAGGCAGCAGTGAAATGCCAAAGATGGACTAGCAGCTCCCCTGTCCTGCATTCTGCAGTCTTTGGCCACCAAGCCCTTACCAGATGGTGTCCCCAAGTGAATAAGGACAGGCCAAGCTTTACAAAAGAGAATGAAAATCTTCAACTGAGTGAAAAAATACGTGGAGGCTCCAAGACTACACACAATTATAATAATATTTGTACAAAGTAGGTCTTGCAAGGTAACATCTGAAAACTCATAATTTGCTAATCCACACTGTCCTGATAAAATGTGTGTGACAACATTGAAAAGTTGTAAGATTCCATTGTGTAGTGATTTTAACACATGTTCCAAACCGAGGTTGGCAACCAGGTCTTTCTCAAACAGAGGAATGGGTGCTCTGCTTAATTTGTATTTAAGCCATAAATAGAGTCATCAAGCGGGAAGGAAAATGAAGGATGCTCAAACAGGTGAGGAAGAGTAGCAGAGCACATTCTTTCCTGTAGCTTCTCTGTCTCCTGAATCTCAGCAGGAAATGTTTCCCAAGGATGGGGGCTGACACTATAAAAATGAGGGACAAATACCCCAAGGTCCCGTCCTCCTTTCTCTATCCATTGATTCACTGCACAAGAAGGGACAAAGGTAGCAGCCATTAACCAGAAGAAGGGGTTCTGGCCTCAGAAGTTTGGCCAGTAAGATGATTGAGAGCATGTGGTGAGAAAAACTTTGCTAGTTGTGTTTTATCTTTTCCTGTGACCATTTCTGATTTTTATGCCTCATTACTTGTACCCACTTAAAATCTCTCTCTTGGTAGTTAATAAACTTTTTTTGTTGTTTTATCTAATCCAGTGTTTAAACTGAAGCTTAAACTCCAGTTGAGACAACAAGATGTGTGCATATTATTTCTATTAATAAAATGATGGACTTTATATGAATTTGTATTGTCCAGGAGAGGGCTGGGCAGTACAGGACATACATTTCTGGGGGAAAATCTAGGACTGAAGGTATGTTGGGGTCACCCTGCAGTATAACTGAGGTGTGGCTGGCTGGCTGCAGCACACACACAGTCATAGCTGGAGGCTGTTTGTGAACAGGTCAGACTGGAGGCTACAGCAGCAAAGCAGTGTCAAGGGCACCCCAGGTTAGAGGGCAGGGTTGACACAGCTACTCATTAGTCTGTATTCTGGGTATGTCACAAGGTGATTACAGCATCACCTCAGGTTTCATTTTATTTTGTTAAGACGCCAGTTGCTAGCTTCTTGACTGCAAAGCAAAGCTTGAAAATGCGACACCCAAATGTTCAGAAAGCAGAAGGCAAATACAGAGGACCCCAAATGTATTATTTTTAAAATATCTCATGATTTCTGGGGCCTGACTCATGATTTTTTAATGCTTGAGGTTGGCAATACTTTGTTGTGGATTTTGTAGGATGTTTTGCATTTACGAAAGCTTATGCTCAAATCAATTGGTTAGTCTCTAAGGTGCCACAAGTACTCCTTTTCTTTTTGCTTTAGAGTTAGAAACCATTCTAATCTGTCAAGTTCTGGGGCAACACTCTAGACCCTGGCATGCCACTCGATGGCCACTGTTCACACATTTCAGCAGCATCACCCATGCTGGCAGGTTTGACAGCTGTATGAAGCCAACAGTCCCCATGTCCTCTAGCCATGTTAGTTAGTTACCTTGCTGGAGCACTGGGATCCCCACAGGATGATGAATAGCAAAGGGAGAGCAGACCACATCGTTCTGCTGGTGCTAAGCAAGCCTCCCCCACAGTGCATTTCATGCCTGAGCTGGAACCAAAGCTACTCTTCTCACTACCCCTGCCCATTTGTGAGTCACAATCTCACTGCCAATGCGGGCTCGGTTCTGGCTGTCATGATGTAGCTACTTTCTCTAAAGCAGCAGCTCATCTGGGCTGGATCAGATGGGTACATGAGAGCCATCTGCTGGCAGCACTCTCTGGTCAAACCACAACAGCAGCCTGTAGATGGTACCTAGATATCCCAGCCTGGCTATCTGGATGAATGACTGGGTGACCCAGAAGACTGGCTGGGCTGACAGATATAAACTCAATCCACTCACGAAATCATAAGAACTGCCCCTTACCGCATGTACTGCCACAGCAGCTGGGAGTGCAGACTAAGAGTCCTAAAGTTAAACAGCTGTGAGGCTGGATGTTCTCTGCAAAGGGCCCACTTGCCCTAGGAAACTGTGGAAAGTCAGACATGCCTGAGACCATGTGGCTGCTCACACTTGGCCTGTTCAGAACGCTTGAGACGCGTGCATTACAGAAGATGCACACACTGCAGCTTGGAGGCAGGTCTGTACTGCAACCCCCTTTTTACAGAGCGGGTACTGAGGTACTTGCCCAAAGCTGCCCAGCAAATCAGAGGCAGAATTACAATTAGCACTCAGGAACTCTTACCTCTCATCCTCCATGCTCATGCCTCTAGAACAGACCAGAACCAAAGCATTGCGACGATGCTGCTGTTACGCCACCGGGAACTAGGGCTACACTTTGACATGGACACAAACTCCTTCAGCATGGACCAGGCTTGAATTGATTTGTCCAGCCCTTGTACTATGTGGGCCATGGCTGGTGGTCTTGGGTACACAGCAAATGCCTCACTATGCCTGCTGCACACTGAGCTCAGCCACCTTGATAATCCCATTTCACCCAGCCCAGTCAATGCAGGCCTATCAGAAATGGGGCTGGATGAGAGCTACATGGCTGAGGCACAGTTGAGCTAATACCTGACAGTTGGAAGAAGCAACCAGAAGAAATAAGCTATTGCTTGTTGGTGTCTGCCCTTTGTCTCCCAGACTCCTGGGTGCTTCTAGAAGTCAAGGGAACAACACTAACCCAAAAAGACTTTATCTGTCTGCAGCTGGCTAGAAGGTTGTTTTCAATGGCTGAAGTTGAATCTAGACAGATTCAGACTGGAAATGAGGTATAAATTCATCACTGAGGGTAACTGATCACTGGAACAACTTACCAAGGTTGTGAGGGATTCTCCATCACTGGCCATTTTAAAATCAAGATTGGATTTTTTTTAAAGATATGTTCTAGCTCAAAAGGAATTATTTGGGGGCAGTTCTCTGGCCTGTGTTATACATACAAGAAGTCAGACTAGATCAGTGGGTTTCAATCTGTGGTCCACAGACCCTGGGGGGAAGTGGAGGGAGGACAGACTATGTCTGAAATTTTTAGGGGTCTGCAGATGAAAAAAGGCTGAAAACCACTGGACTAGATGATCACAGTGGTCCCTTGAAACCTAGGAATTTACTTTCAGGTTCAAGCACTTGCTTCAGGGATCCAGGCCTCTGTTCCCTTGAGGTTGGGTCACTGTGAGGAGCCATATGGAAACTCCAGCTAATGATGAATGTAGCAGCTTGCTTTCTGAGGCCTGCTCTTCACACAAAGCTGTACTAGTTTACCTAATGGGGTGGTTCTAAATGGAACTAGTTAAGGCAGTTGAAAACCCCTGTGTGGGCAATTTAGCAATTGCAGCAAGTTCGCAGATGACACTAACCTGGGGGGAGAGGTAGATATGCTGGAGGGTAGGGATAGGGTTCAGAGAGACCTAGACAAATTGGAGGATTGGGCCAAAAGAAATCTGATGAGGTTCAACAAAGACAAGTGCAGAGTCTTACACTTAGGAAGGAAGAATCCCATGCACCGCTACAAGCTGGGTTCAAGCTAAGCAGCAGTTCTGCAGAAAAGGACCTGGGGATTACAGTGGACAAGAAGCTGGATATGAGTCAGCAGTATGTCCTTGTTGCCAAGAAGGCCAACGGCATACTGGGCTGTATTAATAGGAGCATTGCCAGCAGATCGAGGGAAGTGATCATTCCCCTCTATTTGACACTGGTGAGGCCACACCTGGAGTATTGTGGCCAGTTTTGGTCCCCACACTACAGAAGGGACGTGGACAAATTGGAGAGAGTCCAGCGGAGGGCAATGAAAATGATTAGGGGGCTGGGGCACATGACTTATGAGGAGAGACTGAGGGAATTGGGGTTATTTAGTCTTCAGAAGAGAAGAGTGAGGGGGGATTTGATAGCAGCCTTCCACTACCTAAAGGGGGGTTCCAAAGAGGATGGAGCTCGGCTGTTCTCAGTGGTGGTAGATGACAGAACAAGGTGCAATGGTCTCAAGTTGCAGTGCGGGAGGTTTAGGTTGGATATTACGAAACACTATTTCACTAGGAGGGTGGTGAAGAACGGGAAAGAGTTACCTAGAGAGGTGGTGGAACCTCCATCCTTAGAGGTTTTCAAGGCCTTGCTTGACAAAACCTTGACTGGGATGATTTAATTAGTGTTGGTCCTGCTTTGAGCAGGGGATTGGACTAGATGACCTCCTGAGGTCTCTTCCAACCCTAATATTCTATGATTCTATGATTTAATTTAAACCTAGCTTGGACCAATTTAAACTGATTCCTTGTTAGACCAATATGAGCCAGGCTTCTATATTTTCAAAAGCGTGCAAACAAGAGTTCACACCAGATTAACTAGGCCAGGGGTGGGCAAACTTTGTGGCCCAAGGGCCACATCTGGATGGGGAAATTGTATGCAGGGCAATGAATGTAGGGCTGGGGCAGGGAGTGTGGCAGGGATTGTGGGGTGCAGCAAGGGGCTCAGGGCAAGGGGTTGGTGTGCAGGGGGGATGCGGGGTACAGGAGAGGGCTCAGGGCAGGGGGTTGGGGTGCAGGAAGGGTATAGGAGGGAGTTGGGGTGTGAGGTGCAGGAGGAGTTCGGGGTGCGGGCTCTGGCCCGGCGCCGCTTACCTCAAGTGGCTCCAGGGTGGCAGAGGCGTGCAGCAGGGCTAAGGCAGGCTCCCTGCCTGCCCTGGCCCTGCCCCACTCCCGGAAGTGGCCAGCATGTCAGGCGGTGGGTCCTGGGGGTGGGGTAGGGCAGGCAGCTCCGCCGCATGCTGCCCTCGCCTGTGGGTACCACACCCAAAGCTCCCATTGACCACGGTTCCCTGTTCCCAGCCAATGGGAGCTGCAGGGGGGGCGGTGCCTGCAGGTGAGGGCAGTGCACAGAGCCCTCTGCCTCCTCCGCTCCCCCAGGGGTCGCAGGGACATGGTGCCAGTTGCTTCCAGGAGCAACGCCGGGCCAGGGCAGGCAAGGAGCCTGCCTTAGCCCTACTGCGCCATGGGGCTGGCAATCCCGCGGGACGGATTGAAAGCCCTGACAGGCCGGATCCGGCCTGCAGACTGTAGTTTGTCCTCCCCTTAACTAGGCTGTCTTAAAAAATGGTTTGAGTTAAGTAAGCATAATTTGTTGCGTGAAGGTAAGTCTGAAGAATTGTTTCCCATATGCATCACATTACCACCAATTCATTACTGAGTGCACTGCAAATTATGCAGCTATTTCACTAAAAAACTGAGGTTTTTAATGGAATAAGTGAGAAAATGTATAATAAACTCAGTGCTCCAGCCCCATTATTTTGATAGGTTCATTTATTTTACGCTGTCTACATAGTTTAAATTTTCAATATAAGAAAGATTTTTGCAGTAACATCTGAGGCCTGGTTACACTAGAAAATTCGGTTGGCATAACTACATTGCAGAAGGGTGTGAAAAATCCACACCCCTGAGCAGGGCAGTTAAGCCACCCTAAATCCCCATGTAGACAGGGCTAGGTTGACAGAAGAACTAGCTATGGCCTCTTTGGGAGGTAGACTAACTACAAGTGACAGGAGAACCCCTCCCGTTGGTGGAGCTGGTGTCTACACTGAAGCGCTACAGCGCCGCAGCTGTAGTGTTTTAAGCGTAGACACAAGCCCTTTGAAGTTGAGAGGCAAAGCCAGAGGTTTTAGCATCTGGGTGAAGCATTTGTGGCTTCTGGTCCTTTGTGGGCAGTTTGGAACAATGGGGTAAATATATTAGCTAAGTGTTTCTGAAAAAAATTATCAGCAGTGAAATCATACAGACAGCTGCTAGCAATCTTTATACTAAAATTCTTGCAAATGTATTTGTGTTAGACCTTCCAATACTATCACTGGTTGCAGCCGGCCTTTGCAAGGTGGCAAGGAGAAAGCCCTCTTGCTAGAAAAGCACCTCTTCTTTGTCCTATGAATACCTGTCAGTTTTGCTGAAATACACACGTCTGAAAAATCGCCATTTCCCTTCCCTCACTTGTGCCACTCAGGAAAAGTTTGCCAACAGCCAAAATCATAACCCAAAACCACCAACACTGGACAGCAACCTGCTCCATACCGGCTTGTCCCCTCCACCCCCAAGCCCAGCACACAGCTGCACAACCCCTACCCGCTTCCCTGGCCGCATGGGGCAGCAATCGCCCAGCTCGAGAATGAACCAGGCAGAGTCCGACGCCCTGAACAGCCAGCACATGGCCCCAGTTCCCCATTTCCTGAGACCACGGCCCGGCCCGCCCCGCCCCGGCGGCCAGTCCCCGCACTGAACAGACCCGGACCGTCCGCCCTCCGGCACCTCATGGCCCCGACGCCCCTCCGAGCGGGCGGGCGGGAAGCGCAGCCCGAGCCCGTCCAGACGCGCCGCTGCGGCGACAGCGCAAGTTCCCCGACGGAGCCCGCCGCGCCCAGCGCCGGCTGCAGGGGGCAGCGAGCGCACTCACCACGGCGTCCCAGCGCCATGCACAGCGCCAGCAGGGCGAGCGTCCGGGCCATGGCGCGGCTTCCCCGCGCTGAGGTGCGGAGCGGTGCGGTGCGCTCCTCTCTGCCAGCGGCCCCGGCTCCGTCTGACTCAGCCCCGCCTGACTCAGCCTCCCGCCCAGGAAACTGAGGGGGCCGAGCCTACCCCCCCCAGCGGCCCCTCCCTGGGCCGGCCCCACCCCCTGCCCGAAACTGCCCCCCTTCCCCACACTGAACACTGCCCCGCTGCCCCGAGTACCCACCCCAACTACCCACCCCCTGCCTGCACACTGACACCCCTCCCCCTGCTCACTGACCCCTCTACCCTGAATACCCATCCTCACCCTGCACACTGACCCCCCTGCCCACACTACTCACCCGCACACTGAGCCGACTCACCCTGCACACTGACCCCGCTGCCCAGACTACCTACGCCCAGACTACCTACCTGCTCACTGAACCCCCCCCCCAGCCCAGACTACCCATCCCCACCCTGCACACTGACCCCCCTGCCCAGACTATCCAACCCCACACTGCATCCTGTCCCACACTGACACTCCCCTTCCCTGGCACTTGTCTCCACCTTGTACACTGATACACCCTCCCCCACCTCCCACCCACACATTGCCCCACCAGCACTGCACACAGACCTCGCCTTCTCTGGCCCCATCCTGCACACTGACCCACCCCTGCACCTCACACTGACTCCTCTTCCAAGGCCCCTCCCTGCCCCCCCCACTGATCCCCCATCCCTGGCCCCCCGCATACACTGACCCCCTCTCCCAGCTCCTCCCCATCCTGTACACTGATGCATCCCTGACCCAGCCTAGCACCTCCCTACCCCCCACACCTACCATGGTTATAAACTGTTCAGGAAGGACAGGCAGGGCAGAAAAGGTGGGGGAGTAGCACTGTATGTAAGGGAGCAGCATGACTGCTCAGAGCTCCGGTATGAAACTGCAGAAAAACCTGAGTGTCTCTGGATTAAGTTTAGAAGTGTGAGCAACAAGAGTGATGTAGTGGTGGGAGTCTGCTATAGACCACCGGACCAGGGGGATGAGGTGGATGAGGCTTTCTTCCGGCAGCTCGCAGAAGCTACTAGTTCGCACGCCCTGATTCTCATGGGTGACTTTAATTTTCCTGATATCTGCTGGGAGAGCAATACAGCGGTGCATAGACAATCCAGGAAGTTTTTGGAAAGCGCAGGGGACAATTTCCTGGTGCAAGTGCTAGAGGAGCCAACTAGGGGGGGAGCTTTTCTTGACCTGCTGCTCACAAACCGGGAAGAATTAGTGGGGGAAGCAAAAGTGGATGGGAATCTGGGAGGTAGTGACCATGAGTTGGTTGAGTTCAGGATCCTGACACAGGGAAGAAAGGTAAGCAGCAGGATACGGACCCTGGACTTCAGGAAAGCAGACTTCGACTCCCTCAGGGAACGGATGGGTAGGATCCCCTGGGGGACTAACATGAAGGGGAAAGGAGTCCAGGAGAGCTGGCTGTATTTCAAGGAATCCCTGTTGAGGTTACAGGGACAAACCATCCCCATGTGTCGAAAGAATAGTAAATATGGCAGGCGACCAGCTTGGCTTAATGGTGAAATCCTAGCGGATCTTAAACATAAAAAAGAAGCTTACAAGAAGTGGAAGGCTGGACATATGACCCGGGAAGAGTATAAAAATATTGCTCGGGCATGTAGGAATGAAATCAGGAGGGCCAAATCGCACCTGGAGCTGCAGCTAGTGAGAGATGTCAAGAGTAACAAGAAGGGTTTCTTCAGGTATGTTGGCAACAAGAAGAAAGCCAAGGAAAGTGTGGGCTCCTTAATGAATGAGGGAGGCAACCTAGTGACAGAGGATGTGGAAAAAGCTAATGTACTCAATGCTTTTTTTGCCTCTGTCTTCACGAACAAGGTCAGCTCCCAGACTGCTGCGCTGGGCATCACAACATGGGGAATAGATGGCCAGCCCTCTGTGGAGAAAGAGGTGGTTAGGGACTATTTAGAAAAGCTGGACATGCACAAGTCCATGGGGCCGGACGAGTTGCATCCGAGAGAGCTAAAGGAATTGGCGGCTGTGATTGCAGAGCCATTGGCCATTATCTTTGAAAACTCGTGGCGAACGGGGGAAGTCCCGGATGACTGGAAAAAGGTTAATGTAGTGCCAATCTTTAAAAAAGGGAAGAAGGAGGATCCTGGGAACTACAGGCCAGTCAGCCTCACCTCAGTCCCCGGAAAAATCATGGAGCAGGTCCTCAAAGAATCAATCCTGAAGCACTTATATGAGAGGAAAGTGATCAGGAACAGTCAGCATGGATTCACCAAGGGAAGGTCATGCCTGACTAATCTAATCGCCTTCTATGATGAGATTACTGGTTCTGTGGATGAAGGGAAAGCAGTGGATGTATTGTTTCTTGACTTTAGCAAAGCTTTTGACACGGTCTCCCACAGTATTCTTGTCAGCAAGTTAAGGAAGTATGGGCTGGAAGAATGCACTATAAGGTGGGTAGAAAGCTGGCTAGATTGTCGGGCTCAACGGGTAGTGATCAATGGCTCCATGTCTAGTTGGCAGCCGGTGTCAAGTGGAGTGCCCCAGGGGTTGGTCCTGGGGCCGGTTTTGTTCAATATCTTCATAAATGATCTGGAGGATGGTGTGGATTGCACTCTCAGCAAATTTGCGTATGATACTAAACTGGGAGGAGTGGTAGATACGCTGGAGGGTAGGGATAGGATACAGAGGGACCTAGACAAATTGGAGGATTGGGCCAAAAGAAATCTGGTGAGGTTCAATAAGGATAAGTGCAGGGTCCTGCACTTAGGACGGAAGAACCCAATGCACAGCTAAGACTAGGGACCGAATGGCTAGGCAGCAGTTCTCCGGAAAAGGACCTAGGGGTAACAGTGGACGAGAAGCTGGATATGAGTCAGCAGTGTGCCCTTGTTGCCAAGAAGGCCAATGGCATTTTGGGATGTATAAGTAGGGGCATAGCGAGCAGACCGAGGGACGTGATCGTCCCCCTCTATTCGACATTGGTGAGGCCTCATCTGGAGTACTGTGTCCAGTTTTGGGCCCCACATTACAAGAAGGATGTGGATAAATTGGAGGGAGTCCAGCGAAGGGCAACAAAAATGATTAGGGGTCTGGAACACATGACTTGAGAGGCTGAGGGAACTGGGATTGTTTAGTCTGCGGAAGAGAAGAATGAGGGGGGATTTGATAGCTGCTTTCAACTACCTGAGAGGTGGTTCCAGAGAGGATGGTTCTAGACTATTCTCAGTGGTAGAAGAGGACAGGACAAGGAGTAATGGTCTCAAGTTGCAGTGGGGGAGGTTTAGGTTGGATATTAGGAAAAAATTTTTCACTAGGAGGGTGGTGAAACACTGGAATGTGTTACCTAGGGAGGTGGTAGAATCTCCTTCCTTAGAAGTTTTTAAGGTCAGGCTTGACAAAGCCCTGGCTGGGATGATTTAATTGGGGATTGGTCCTGCTTTGAGCAGGAGGTTGGACTAGATGACTTCCTGAGGTCCCTTCCAACCCTGATATTCTATGATTCTATGGAGCCATCGCTCCTCCCAGTCTGCAGCAGTGTCCTTATGGCTGGAACAGGACGTGGGGCAGGAACAGAGGCAGGGATTTGGCTGGAACAAGGATGGTGCAGAGGATATGCCAGAACTATCTCCCTCCCACCCTGTCTCACCCTACATTGCCCCCCCCCAGTCCCCTATTGGGGCTCTCTCCATCCCCACCCCTTGCCTATTTCATTCCCATGTTAGTACACAGGGGCTCATGCACAGGTGCTGGTGGATTAATTGGTGTTGGCCCGCAGCTGTATTTCCACCATCACAGGCCAGCTCCTCCTCTAATCCCACACAATAAAGCATTGAGATCCTGGGTAACTAATACCCCAAAACTCCATTGTGAAGCTGTCATGGATCAATCTCCAGGGCACCAGCGACCCCTCTCCCTTTCCAGGGATCTCTGCAGCAAATTCAGGTCAGCCAGAGTCCTGTGGGAGCCATGTGCTGGGCCCCTCTGGCCCAGTACTTTCAGGGAATATGGATAGACACAGGCAGCCTTTGCAAAACAAGGGAACCATAGATCAGTCCCCTGGCTACAGAAGTTGAACCTCTGTAGGTGAGCACACAGAGAGGCAAAGGTTAAACCATCATCCATGCTGGCTAAGCCTAGTATTGCCAATTTCAAGAGATCAACAATCACAAGTCGGACCCCCAGAAATCATGAGATTTTTTTTTTTAATTATATTTTGGTTTTTAGGTCAGTCTCTCGATTTTTGGACTCACCCTGGGATGGGCAGGGGATGTCTTGTGACAGTTAGTGGTGCCCACTCTCCCACATGTGCTGGATAAAGTGATTTTGGCCCCAGCTGCAGGAGCGCTCACCCCCACATCTGCCCCTCTCCTGCCGAGCAATTAGTCCTGTCCCCCAATTCCCCATCAGTTCTGTCCCCACCCAATGCCCTCAATTCAGCCCTTCAGCCTCCATCATCACCACCCCATCACTTCAGTCCCCCTACCCCATTGACCCCCACAGCCCTCAGCGCACCCTTCCAGCACTCACCCCATCTGCTCAGAACCCACCATCAATACAGCACCCCCACCCCCACCCTCCTCACTTCAGCTTCACTGCAGCCCCCAGGCTAGAGTTCAACCCTCCCAGCCTCATCTCTGCTCCTCTTGGGGTTCTTCATCCTCCTCAGGCCCGGGGGGCCTGCAGTGGGGTCCCCTCACCCACTTCCCAGGCTGGCAGGGGAACCCCAACAGCAGGTGTCCTGGCCGCCCAGGGCTGGGGCTGGCAGCGATTTCTCAGTAAAAGGATTAAGCCTGACTCATGATCTTTCTCAGGATAGAACTCTCAGCAGTGGCTGAAAAAAAATTGACACGTTTGAGAGTTCTATTGCGAGATCATGATTCAGGCTTAAATTTACTTAGAAATCGCGTTTCTCACCATTAATTCGTGAGAGTTGGCGTGTCTGCAAGCCAATGCCAGGAGCCAGCTGAGCTGTGATGGACTCCATCTCTGGTTCTCTCCTAGTCTCTGTCCTCAGTCCCAGGTGAGACCTCCTGAGTCCCTCCAAAGGGCAGCTCTTATTCCACCCACCTGACACCTTTTCTT